TGACCCAATTTAATAAATTAGATCATGAGTTATTAGCAAATAAAAATTTACTTAAAAAATATGAATTTTTAGGTGGTCAGATACTTTTGACAAGGAAGTGTACATTCGGTAGTAGTATTAATATGCATTTTGCAATACAATATAATTAAAGTATCAAATCTTACAAAAAGAACTAGTATTTGATTTAATATCATATTCTTAATTAATATTAGGTTTATCATCAGGTCTTTCAATATTTACAAAAGTAAAAATATTATTCAAATCTGCTTTCAACAAATTAACCATAATTTTACCTATATATTTATTTATTTGAAAAATAAAAATTTTTTTTTTTTTAATCAGAATTTCAAATATTTCAGAAATAACAATTGATCACTTTTACCTTTCCTAACATGAGATAAAGGATTTGAATAGAAAGGAATTGATTCTTGAGAATAGAATATAGGCTTATGTTCAACAGCAACACAAAGATTTGTTACAAGTGATGCATTTAGCATTTCTTCTACTACAACGTGATGAATTAAATATCTTAATTTGTTACCAATCATATTTCCTGACTTTATAGAATACATAGTATATAAGTATGATGGAATAGTGAAGAGTTTAATTTGTAATGCTATTTGAATTAGAAATAGATGTTAATCTTTGATTTCAAGCATTGAATTATAAAAAGGAAGTAGTAAAACAACATACTGTTCTCAAAGTTATGCTTTCTATTATCTGAAATTCAGGCAATGTTCAATATGTGTTTTGTTGAACTTCTGAAAATACATTTAAATCATACAAATCCCAATCTGAATAACTGAAACAAAAAAATTTAGTTTGGAATGTAAATATAAATAATATAAATTATAAATGCATATTAATATATTAGTTTTATTAACTTACCTATTCCATGTCTTGACCATATCCATGTTACCCCATTTAGGATCATCATCTTCGTTAGTTCTGAATCTGCAGGTCCATTCTTTAAAATCTTTTAACTTAATTAACTTGTCAATTTCTTTTTTAGGGACAGCTTCTTTTACTTCCTTTTCAATTTCATTTTTAATATCAATTTCATTATATTCAGTTCAATTTTCATTTTCATTTACATTTACAATCTTCTCAATTCTATTTCTAATAATATTCTAAAGTTAAATATTATAAGTTAAATTAGTTCTTTTCAAAAACAAATAAAACAAAATAAAATTGCAAATTACCATATTTTTATCTGGAATTACAACATCAGGTCTTTGAGCTGGCCACCAGTTTACTTAGCACTCAAAAAAATCAGCTTGCAAAGATAAAGCAAAAAATCCATTAAAAAATCCAGGTGAAATAACTTTATTATAAGGATTAATTCTGAAATAATATATGAAAGATATTATTATTGTTGTTGTTGTTTTGTTTGCAATAATGCCTATAATACATAAATACCTAAATTCAAATTCCTTATGAAATAATTCCTTAAAGTATGCAGTATAAGTCATTTCAATTCCTGGAAAAAATGCCCTCCAACACTCCATTCAAGTGCAGATTTTTTAAGATGTTCAATTTGTTCATAAGGGGAAGTGATAATTTCTTCAAATTCTTTAAATTCCTCATTATCTTCATTGTCTTCTTCTGAAATTTTCTTGTATTTGGGGTATCTGCTTTGGTCATCAGGTTTAAATTCATACTTGTACTCAATGAGCTTGTTACTTTCATCTAAATAGAAATTACCTTCTGCCATTGTTTTAAGTGACTAATGAAAAATAATGAAGAAAGAATAACGTAAAGTTAAATGACACAGAAACTAATATATTACCACTGAAGCTAATGTATTACTTACTAGTATTGGCCTTCAGTAACAGTTAAAAATGTATCTGGAGATGAAGGTTCGACGTCTCCATCATTTCCAGATAAAGGTGGCATAAAATAACTATAAGCTTGACCACTGTGTCCCATAGCGCTTGCAAGTTTTTTAGGTACCCGGACACGTGAGAAAACTCCTTTCCTAACCATCAATAATAAAATAAATAAACAATAAGACAAATATGTTCATTAAATAAAATAAATAAAAAAGTATGTTACATTTAAATGAATGAATGGAAAACAACAAACCTCAAGCTCATCTGTTCCTTTGAACAGCTTTCAGCTTTGAAGATATGGTTCTAATTCGGGATTCACAAGATTACCATGCTTTCCTACTCCATGACCCGTGAAAGCTATCTTATTAACCCAAGAGTTTTTATGAATGGCGTCAAAGATTGGTCGAATATCACGATAATATTCCGTTTTTACCTCAAACAGGAAAAACCAAAGTATAAATGAGATTAGTATGTTTTCTGGTTAATGATACTACTATAGCACATCTCAAATAATACATATAAATACTTTCGCATAATATTTCCCAGGATTATTTCGATTAATATGTTGAGTTTCCCAGATGACTTGATATAATGGCACAAGGTTGGGAATACCTGGTGCATATTTTGGAGGTGCTACAACAACCCAAGACTTGCCCTCTAATTTTTATAAATTATATAAATTATATTCATTTTACTTTATTTCTTTACAGCTAAATATAAATGCTACCTCTATTTTTGAGCTCTTTGGGTTTATTAGTAATCTTTAATTCTACTTTGGCATCTATGGAACCGTCAGAAGTGTCATCATACCAATAATCATTGTTCGCGTAATCCATAATATAGGTATCTGTGGGGATATAAGAGTATGTAAGAGGATATAAGAATAAAATGAGTTATTGATTCATTCAATATAAATAAATGATATACAACCTCATTCGACTTTTCCAGATTTCCCCTTTCCTCCAATAATTAATGAGCTCCCTTCTTTTTCCATTATCATTTTTCCTAAATCTAACTTTGCTTTATCACCATAAATATTCGCCTTGAATGATTCTTCCAATCTTTTACCATCTTCAAGATCTTCAAAACCATCAGAGCTTAAACTCTTCTTATCAATTGCTTCCAATTCTTTCCTATCTCCCTCCCAATCTGAAAATAAGTTTTGTTAATATTGCATGGTCAAAATCTAAAGTTTAACAGGATTAAAAATTACGTACTTTTATTTCTCAGAATATCTGCACGAAAATGCTCTATACCGACGAATTCTGCGTGACTTGATTTCTTATTAGCAAGTTCAACGGTCCAGGTAATAGATATATCCAAAGTACCTTTAATGCGATCAGCAAGTTTGATCTCCCGCACGACTTCACCTTTTTCGTCAAAGCCATATATTCGATACCTCACAGAATGTGGTCTTACACGACGTTGCGAATCCTTAAATTCAAATTTGGTATTTCCCTCTATATAATCATAATTTTACACACACATTACTACTACTGTAATTAATAATTTCGATAGTTATTCTAATAACAACTTACTTCCAACATATACACCACAAATTTCTGCTCCTACATAATAGTCAATCAGAGTTGCCGGCGTGTTCAACACCAAGAGGTGGATAAATTGCAAAAGATGTAATCTTATTGTAATCAGCCTCAGTCATTATGAAAATAATTGAGGCTTGTATGGAAATCTCTACAAAAAATACTCATCTTTCTTATCGAGACAATTTATAGTATTTTTTCAACTATAGATATACAAAAGTCCTTCCCTGTAACTTCTTTACACACACTTTACACACTTGGTCGTTTCATAGAAAATTCCCATATACGTATATTATATATTATATATATTTATATTTATATAGATATGTTTTATGTACAAAAAAATTGTTTTCATTGAAAATTCTAAACGTAGAAATATCTATGTTAAGAAATTTTTGGGGAAGAACCTGTTTAAAAACGTGGGATTTTTACTTTCATTTTAATTCCTGTATATGGAAACAGGAAAAAATATTGTCTTGTCGTCGTTAAATTGTCCTCAAATATAATTCAAAGCCTATAGCCTTAATTTTCCAAAAAAAAGAATTCATTAGAATTCATATTAAATTAATGATTGTTTGGAAGAATCCCCGTTATAAGACGATTAAAATTAAATTTTTAAAATTTATTAATAATCATAAATGAACACTCTACAACAGTTTGACGTTATTATTATAGGGGGTGGTATTGCAGGGTCATGTACAGCGATAAAACTGGCCCAAATGTTTAAGTTGGCGACTGCAACTTAGAGGAAAATTTTGGTTATTGATGAGAGAGCACCAAATGCAAAAACGTTGAAAGTTGGAGAGTCCTTACCTGGAGAAGCAAAGAATATACTTCAGTCATTGGGTGTATTTGAGGGAATAAATAATGATGCAATGCAAGGTATTAAGATCTTCATTAACTTGTGTTTTAAGCATTATTTGTTAAAGTAATGTGTGTTAAAGTAGTGCATTTATTTGTTTATTACGTTTAAAAGGAAAACATAACTTTTGTTACGAAAATTGTTCAACATGGGGTTCCGATGATTTACTAGGTTCAAATACGATATTTGAAATTTATGGTGATGGATTCCATTTGGATAGACTCCTGTTTTGAAGAAACGTTACTTAAAACTGCTAATTTGCAACATGGACAATTTATTACGATTATGCGTGATTCCAAAGTGACTGGTTTATTTATTTCTAAAGATATTAATCATAGAGATACACATTGGAAAATTAAGATTTCAAATATTGGTAATTTTCATTACTTCTAATTGCGACTTCATTGAATAAAGGTATAATTTCCAGTCTTCTATACCTTCTATTTTGTTAGAGTCATCCAAATCAATGGGAAAATTCTCATTGATGCAAGTGGCCGCCAATGTTGTATCCGAAAATGTTTATCAAATTTAAAACGTAACTCCTTCGATAAACTGTTGGCCTTTGCGTGTTTATTCGAAGCAGATAATGATATTTCATGCAAAGTTGATTCGAATCATTACACACTTATAGAATCTTGCGCTTTTGGATGGTGGTACATCAGTCTGTTGCCTAATAAGCAACGAATTGTTGTTTTCCATACAGATGATGATCTTCACCAGATTAATAGAAATATTAGATTAGTTGAGGAATTTAATGAATTCATAAAGGAAACTACCGTAAATTTTACAAGGAATATAAGCGAGCATTCATATCGTCCCGTAGGGAAAAGAGTTATGTGCATGCCTGCAAATTCAACAAGTCTTTCTCAATTTGGTAAATACATTTATTTTTTTTTATTTATTTAAGAGAGACATTTTTTTTGTAAATAATTGTGATCTCGTCTCAAATAGCTTCCTATGAAAATCGATGGATGGCAGTTGGTATAGTGCTATTTCTTTTGATCCGCTCTCATCTCAAGGGATGCTTACAGCTCTATATAGTGCAAAACTTGGAGCAGAGGCAATTTTTTTCCAATATTTTAATGGAAAGGAAATAACAAACAAAGATAATAGAATCCAACCGTTGGAAGTATATCAGCAATATCTAGAGAATACATTTAATAAGTATATGAGAGAGAAAGAATTTTTTTATAACAAGGAACAGAGATGGAATAATGAAATGTTTTGGAAACGAAGACATAAAAATCAATCTTACCTAAATATTGCTGATGATAAATAAATAAAATTTGAAATTATAAATTTCGTACCTTTAACGTTTTCTTCAATGCGTTCGACTTGTCTTCTATTAAAATATACATATTACTAATCTTATAAACAAGTACGTTAAAGATATCATCATTTCCAAGTTTATAAACGTTTTCAATCCTTGCTAACACTTTGTACTTATTGAGGGGATTATATATTTTCCAAAGATTGAATACACAATTATTTCTATTCTGGGATGTAATAGGATATCATATTGGGTGTCAAACATCATTGTAATCAATCATATGAACGCAGAGATTTTAATCCAATAAGAAAATAAAAAATATTTTATTAACGATTCGTAACACCTAATAATTTATCCGTAAACGATAAAATAAAATAATTCCAACCAATTATTTAATGGCTCTGTTTCTAGTTCGAAGATAATGAATCAGTTTATGTAAGCAAAGCTTCACCGAGAATATTAAATTCTTGTCATACCAAAAATCAGATAAATTAATGATAAAGATAATTACAATGCGATTCTTGAAGTTGAAAATAAAAAATCTTTTACAGCACATTCTAACGTCTTTAAAATTCCGATTATCACGTTTCCGAAAAAATTGAAAAATATTCGTCCAAATAAAGGTTTCAATGTTAAGTTATTTATTATTAATTATAAAATTATTATTCTAATTATTCTAATTCATAAATTATACATAAATTATAATTGATTTTTTACATATATATTTATGGAGGAATTGTTAATTTAGGGAATGCTGAAATTAGATTTATTTTGATTTAATGTTAATGAAGAAATTAGAAATTTTCTCATTGAAGCGAAAGATTTCTGGCCAATAATACATTTTTCTTTGGTCGATTATACTATTTTTCACATATGAAACTTGAAAAGTTTTTATAATAACCGAATATCCAAAATCTGATTTTTAACGGATTTTATTTCTTTCCAAGTGGAAGAAATTAAAATTTGGGATTATAATTTTACTCTACCAACAGACATGAAGAATAATTACATATTCAACTTTCGAATGCTGAAATTCTTGATAAAATTTGGCCTTAAAAAAAAAAATTCTTGAAGACCAGTAAAATCAATTGTTTTATCACTAAGAATAACTATAGTTATGAAACTTTTTTTTTTTCATTTGTGAAGATGCAACTGAAAATTTCCTCCTGAATTATTTTCCATATTAATTTTTACGTGAAACTAGAGATGGATTGCACCCCAAACGTTTTGGGATATGTGCTGGTACAGTTGTGGTAAACAGGTGAGGTTAGTTAGCATGAGATAATAGTACCACAAGTAATATAATGTTCATTATGGTAATTAGATACAAATAAAAGATTGCTTTTTTTTTCTCAGTAAAAAATGGTAATATTCAAAAATTCAATGCTTAATAGTAGTCAAAAATCTTGTAATCCATTCTTGGAGCTATAAATATAATTTACTTTAAAGAATGAAAAACATATATTACAATCTCGCTTTTCTTTTCAATTATAAAGTATTTTGAAGTTGTTAAGAAAACAATTTAGAAGTTTCGTTAATAATATTATTTTTTTATATTTTTTTTTATTAAATAAAACTTTTTATTAATCTATGAATTTTTTTTTTTTTATATCCTCTAAATATTATATAATAAGTATTGATTCTGAGAACCTTTAAGATTGAAAAAAAAATTGTCATATCGTGTCATGCCACAATATTTACACTTTTTTTCACTTTTTTTCAGTCCTATGGTGACATAACAGGAATCCTACCAGAATTAATGCATATAACAAGAATGCTATTACCGTAATTAGATAATTAAATTTGGATTCTAAGAATTCCATAAATATTTACTAAAATCTAAATGGCGGAAGATACATAATAAAAGAAAAAGAATGCAAATATAGTAGTAAAGATAATAAATATTTAATATTATAACGTGTGAAATAAAAAAAATTATTGTTTCATGTGTGCAAACTCCACAGGTGAAACATTAAAGATAATAAAATAATAGATAAAGGCTAGATTTTGTCCTACCTATAAAAAAACGATTCTAATTCAGAGAAAAAAAAAGAATGAAGCTCGTGGACAGTGTAACGAGAGAACAAGAATAATAACGCCATTCCTTTTTCTACTTTTCCATTTACGTTTGATGTTCATGAATGATTAATATTAACATTTTAAATTTAACTATTTCGGAAATACTCCGAGTTTGTGCATCCGAATTTATATTCTTAAATTCTATTTCTGTGGGTAATTGAGATTATATATAATGTATATATAATGAATATACAATAATAATTTCCGTAAAGGTAAACATTTACAAAACATTTACAAAACGATTTATCGCATTCATATTTTATTTTTATCATTTTCTCTCTTTTATGCATATAATCTTGTTTTTTTAAATAAAAAAAATGATACGAGAACATAATCTTACTATTGATACAGCTGCGGCATCTCGTGGTCAAAAAATAATTCGTAATAAAGATTCATCAGAAGATAATAATGGAGGGACAGATATTCTCGATGAAGAAGATGATGATGATTATTTAACATCATCACCTTCAATTTCTGAAGAAGAAATAAATTTTGATTTAGTCTATGCATTACACACTTTTACTAAAACAGTTGATGGACAAGTTGCTGTTGAAAAGAATGATTCACTTATATTGTTGGATGACTCAAATAGTTATTGGTGGTTGGTTAAAGTTATTAAAAATGAAGAAGTTGGTTATATTCCTGCAGAAAATATCGAGGTAAAGAAAATTTAATATATTTATGTATACAATCTATATTAATATATAATATATAACATATATATATATATATATGCATAATTTATTTCAAGACTCCATATGAACGATTGGCGAGATTAAACAAACATCGGAATGTCAATGTACGTTTATTATTATCTATCTTTTATCATCTTTATTTTATTATCTTTATTATCTATCTTTATTCTATTAATTTGTTATATTATCTTGTTATTTACTTTAAAAATAGATTTGCTCATCGCAGAACAATACGGTTGAAGATAATCTATATTTTGAACGAAAAATCCTAAATCAAATTCCAGTAAAAGGAGTAAAATTTACATCACCAGAATATATTATAGAGTCTGAAGGAGAATATTATTATGATGATGATGATTATAACGAAGAAGAAGAAGAAGAATTATTTAGAGGAGATGATCAACAACAACAAATAAATGAGGAATCTGAGAAAATAAATGATTCTTCCAATATTATAATTAACTCTAAAGAAGAATCGATAGAGAATCAAGAAAACAAAAAAAGCATTGAAACTGAAATGAATAATAATAATATAGATATATCACATGAACCAGAAGTTAATGAAAATGACATGATTTTAATTGACAACACTACACAAACATCAACGCAAATGTCAATTGTCAACGAGAATATCAAAAACGAGAGTATCAAAGAGAATTTCAATAAGAGCATTGTCAACGAGAGCATTGTCAATGAGAGTATTGTCAATGAGAGTATTGTCAACGAGAACATTGTCAACGAGAATATTGTCAACGAAAACGTTGTTAACGAGAACATTGATGAGAGTATCAATGAGAGTGTCAACGAAACAACCATCACCGAGAGTACCACCACCAATGAGAGGAATGAGAATATCGATGAGAATAAATCAGAACTAGAACAAATTACGATTCAACCTATAAAAGATGATAATTTACAAGCCGAAATTACCATAAATATTAAAAATAATAATGATCAAATACAAAATAATTATGAAGTAAAGAATAATAATTCCGATGAAACTTTACAGAATAATCAACAGGATGTATTAATTAAATCTTCAGAAAATATGGGTAATGATTTTATAGATTTTTCAGATGATGATGATGAAAAACAAAAACAACACAAATCTGGCAATAAGTTATTTGGGAAAAGAGATAAAAGAGACAAAAGTGATAAAAGTGATAAAAGTAGTAAAAGCGATAAAAGTAATAAAAGCGATAAAAGTAATAAAAACGATAAAAGTAGTAAAAGTGATAAAAGTAGCAAAAGTGATAAAAGTGATAAGGGCGATAAAAGCGACAATGGTGGTGTTATCTCAAAGAATAATTCTGAATCTTCTAGTAGTAGTAGTAATAGTAAACATGATCATTTAATGGATGATAATAAAAAAGATAAAGGAAAAAAAGAAAAGAAAGAGGGGGGAGGAGGAATATTTAAGAATCTTTTTTTTAAAAAGAAAACAAAGAATAATGTTAAGAAAGAAGATTTATCAAAGACTTCGTCAAGAAATATTGCAAATATTACTTCCGATGTTTCTCAACCACAACAAACTACAAATTCATCAAAAAGCATTAAATTATCACCTACAAATCCTCTACAATCATCCTCATCACAATTGCAGCTTATCCAACCTGTCCAACCATCACAAATGAAACCGCCAACGCAAATATCTCAAATACCTCAAATGTCATCACAACAGCAGCAATCTAAACAATCATCCACACATAAACAACAATCATCACAACCACGAATAAAACAACAATCATCACAATTACCAACACAATTCAGTAATTCTGAAGATATTATTAATGTTACAACTCCTTCAGCTTCTGCAAATTCTGTATATAGCGTTTTTCGTATATTTTCTGGACATAATATTACATCCAAATTTAACTATAAACTTGTTCTTCTTGGAAAAAACAATGATACAATTTCATTAATTAAACAATCAATAAAACGATTTAAATTGGACAAAGAAGAGAATTGGCAAAATTATTATATTACCATTAAAGAAAATGAAAAAGGTATGTGTATTATTTATTAACTTTAATAATAATAATTTTAATTAATTAATAATAATAATTTTAATTAATTAATGATAATAATTTTAATTAATTAATAATAATAATTTTAATTAATTAATAATAATAATTTTAATTGTTTATAGAGGAACCTTTTCACTTGGCACCACATGATCACCCCTTGAAAATATTTGAGACATTAACTTCATCATATCTTACACCATTACCAACGATCAAACGATCTTCAATTTCTTCAGTATCATCTGAATTTTCAAATTTATCAAATTTATCAAGTCATGAAGCAATAAGTAAATTATTATTTCGTGATGATAAAAATTTAGTTTGTTTCTATTTAAATAAAAAATCACAAAAAATAGTTGATAATCAAAATTCTCTGGAAAAGAAGTTACGTATACGTGTACTTGTATATTCTGATGATTTACCAATTCATCATCGAAATAAGGGAGGAGTAACTGCTATACCAAGAGTATCAATGTCTGCACCTAAAAATTTAGCAGAGAAGGTAAATAATAAAAGAAGATCAAGAGAAGAAGGAAAACCTAGAGAAAAAGGTATTATTATTACAGGAAGAGCTACCGTAGGTCAAGTTATAGAGAAAGCTATAAATAAATTTGGTATAAATGAAGGTATTGTTGATAATGGAGAACCAATATTAGAATCTGATGATGAAAAATTAAGATATAATCTTATGATGATTATTGATGGGAAAGGTAAAATAAATTATTATTATTGTTGACTAATCTATTTATATTTTTATATAAAAATTTATTTAATAAATTAAATTAATTTTTAATATTTTTTAATTATTTATATGAAAATAAATTTATAGAAAAATATCTTCATCCAGATACGAACATGTCAACAATCTATAATACAAATACACCACCAGATTTTCATCATTTTTCTGTTACCTCTTTAGATTCAACATCATCTTTAACATTTGATTATAATCCAGATGAACCAATGTTTGTATTAAGGCTTTTACGTCCTGAAGATTATCAAAAGCGAAGCATGCCAACATTATCAAATTCTAAAAACATATCCAATATATCCAATATATCCAACGAGAATAGTAATAATAATAATAATAATAATAATAATAGTAGTAGTAGTAATAATAGTAATAATAATATTAATAATAATAATAATAATAATAATGATAATAGTAATAATAATAATAATAATAATAATAATAATAATAATAATAGTAATAATAATAATGATAACAATCCTGATGATGGAATTTTATCACGAAAACAACTTATTGAAAAGCAACGAGAATATAGTAGAGCCAAACAAAAATCGATTCTAGGTTCGCATAAAAACGAAGAACAAGGAGTGGATATTATTACGAGTGTTGGAGCAATTAGAAGTTCTCGTATTTTTGGATCATCCAAAGTTCGATATTCTTTTATTTCAAATGATGGAAAGGGAGTTGATATTAGTGATCTTATCGAAAATATTTGGGCTGATGAAGATGAAGAATTAACCAATGTTAATAAAGGATTAAAGAAAGTTGAATTAGTTGATGACGTTGACAACTTTAATAACAATGATGTGAATAATATAAATAATATAAATAATATAAACAATAAAAACAATGACAGTAATAATAATAATAATAATAAAACACAAGAAGTTGATATTTTAGAGAAAATATTTAACCAAACAAATGAAAATGATCATAATGAAGGTAATGAAATTGAGATGCAATCAATTGAAAATAGAATTAATCGAGTTATACAAAAGGTAAAAACTGGTCAATATGGTATGAATTCTATATCAAGTATATCAAGTATTACAAATGTTATAAGAGATAAACAAAATGCAGAAGATCAACGTGAAATACAACAACCAAAACAAATCACAACCACCACAACCCGAATACCAATGTCAACAAGAAGATTATCATCATTATCTTCCAAAAAGAAAGATTTCAATAATACTGGATTGGAAGGAAAACAACAACAATCACTTAGGTCACGTCCTACCTCAATGGAATCTAATAAATCAGAAGTAAGCATTATAACTCCAACGGATTCTTTAACCCCCACTCAAGAGTCTTTTACACGATTACGTCAAATGTCATCATCACCTTCATCTTCAATACCTTCATCTTCAATAGCTGGAAGTGATTGGATATTATCAGATGAATTTGGATTACAAGAATTATTAATATTTGTAAGAGCAGGAATGAATAAATTGGATGCTAAAGAAAGAAGAACGAGTGAATGGTTTTTAAATGATGATCGAGATAATATACTTGAACAATTTAAACCAGATGAAATACGGGATGAGATTAAAGATGTTTTTGCAAATGTTAATGATAAACTTGAAAAATTGGAATTGGTAAGATTTTATTATTTTATTATTTTATTATTTTATTATTTTATTATTTTATTATTTTATTATTTTATTATTTTTTATTATTTTATTATTTTATTTATTTTAATTATTTTATTAATTTAATATTTTATTTCTTTATTATATTCATTCTCTCTTTCATTTATTTTCTCTAATATTTAGGAATTGGATCAAATAATGAGTGATGCTGTAAGAGCATTTTAATTTATTTATTATTCAATTTGTAATTAATCACATACATGCATTGTAATCATTTTTTATAATTATTTAATTACTGTAATTACTCAATTATTTATATGGACTTTTAAATTATTTTATTAATTATTTAAATTCACTAATTATTTTATATCATCATTTTTATTGTTTTATTATTGCATATTTATCATTTATAATTTGGGATGCAAACAAATATTTTCATGTTTGTATCTTTTGTATTTTATTGTAATTTTATTATAGATGTTATATAATTAATAAATCATGTTATAACATTGTGATTAAATAGTAATTCTGTTAATTATGTCAAGATTGTACTGCATTTATAAAAGATTCCATTTTTAATATCAAGATTTATATTCAAATGAAACCATTTAATCTATCTTTCTTTTTTATTTTTACCATGACACCATCTTTAAATCTTTCATTTTTGTCATTTCCAACTTTTCGATTTTATTATTTAAGTCCATCAATCCTAAGGGAAAAATTCTGATAAGTGATATTAATAAAAATAATAATATAATAAGTCAAGATCTTAAGAAAAAGCTAGGTAAGTAATATTAAAAAAGAACCCTGTCCCTTTTCTTTTATGTAATCCATGATAAAATCTAACCTTTCTTCGACTTTGTTTTTCTAAAAATACCATCTTCTATCTTTATTACTTTGCCTGTAGTAATAAAATCCTTTGCTCTGTCAGTCTTTTTTTTGGAACATACCGTGTTGCCAAACGTTTTGTTGTTGATGTAGTCTACTCGCAAGACCATCAAGGCTTACATCAACAAAATCTCAACAAATTCATTCATTATCACAATATTATACTCCTTCACCAATTAAGTCTACCTAAAGAAATTATTCCTGCTCCTTATGTTCCTATTTTTGTCACTTTGGTTAGCTAGCAGTGAATTTAGTTACTTCTCATTAAGCACTACCAAAACTTCTAAGGCTTCACTGAAATCATCCCATGACTTTAAATAACCAGTATGCAGAGATTAAACTTCACTTCTAAGAAAATTTAAATTACCTTTCAGTTTTTACAACTCATCTTACTCTTTAGATAAATGTTAACAATATGATTATGTACCTAAGTTTGATCACATTGGACTATTTATGATAGTATGTTTAAAGGGGAAAAATTGTTTTATTTCATGGAAAACAAATTCATAATAAAATAAGTATATAATCCTAATTTTCTTAGATTAAAAGTAATAATTATTTTTGAAATTTAAAACATTTTATTTTTTAAATATTTTAAATTTTAACGTTTGAGTAAACAATTTTATGATTTAAACTTGCATATAATTAATGTTATTACTTTTTTCAATTGTTAATAACTTAAAAAAAAGATGGGACATGGCTCTGGTGATTTTTTGGAGGATATAGGAAAATTTGTGTTAAAGTAATAACAACAACTGCTGTCATAGGTGTTAGTTTCTCCTTTAGTTGGATACTGTATGCAGGAGATATGAACCAGATGGATGAAATTAATTGAATGGTAAACCTTGTAGGAGGTACTTATGTATTGGTGAAATAACTGTAACTTGAGAACAAATGTAATGTCTTATTTAGCTAATGACAGTTCAAGAATAGTTTTTCTTTTACAGCAGAAAATAATCAATGTCTTTATTAAAGGTGTTGCAAATATTGTAATGAACATCAAAACATACATAATATCTTTATTTTTGTATAAAATTTTTTGCTCTTCAATTGTATATTTTTCATCATATTAACTTCAGTTTTTCTTTTCTTTTTTTTATCTATATGAAAAGGTGATGATTATATTAATAAGGTTTGTTTACTATATTTTAACTTTACACTTTTGTTAGTTATCATTTTTTTTTAAAATAAGTAAAGCCTTGCTTCTGGTTTATTTATTGTAAATAAAATTTAGATGTAAGAAACCTATTTAAAGAAATTTACATGTTAGTTATCATCTCCTTTTCTTATACAACTGAACTTATTAACTAGTTTTTTAATTCTTGAATTATTATATTATTGTATCATATATTTGTTAAATAGTATACAGTTTTGTTTTTAAACAAATTTTATTTGAATACATGAATTGAGTTATTTATAACCTAATTTTTGTTTGTTTTCATTGAAATATGTTTACAAATGTTATAAATTCAATTACTGTACTTATTCTTCTAAATGAAGTAATAAATTGCTTTTTTTAGATTAAAATTTTATATCTATAACAATTTTGCTAAAGTTTTGTACAATTGATTATAATTGATTGTCATAATTGATTAGATCACTTTTTTGAATTATCAATACACTAAATATGTAAATAATTTGATATTTATTATTCTATGCCCTGTTTATATTTTTTATATTTTTTCTATCATAGGTATTGAAATCCACATACTGTTTTTTTCTTAATATACATCACTTATGTTATTGTTATTTAACAGTTGTATAAATATTTGTTAAAATAATACAGATATCAAAGCCTCCTGATTTTGGTCTATTTTAATTGGCCAATTATTAATAGTCATGTAATTGCTACAAAAACTATGATACATTTATTTTGTAACTTTTATAAAGATGATTTTATCAAATTATTTTATCAATTATTACAATAGAAACTAAATTTTTTTTTATATAAAATAATTTACCATCTAGTATAATCACCTGATGCTTTATAAACATCCCTAACTCGTTCAGGCATTAATTCTATTAGTTTATCACATACAATATCTTTTGAAGTTTCATTCCAAATTTTAGATACATGTTCCCATAATGAATTTTTATCTTTAATTTCTATATTTAATAATCTATGATAATGATCAACATCATTTCAAAAATGTTTGATTGGGTTAAGATCAAATGACTATGCCATCAGGAAATTTTTCGGGCGTAAATTTCCGTAATACAAACGGGACCCACGGAAATTTACGCCCAAAAATTCAATTTTTTTGACTTTGGTCGC